GTTAAGAAGATCACCATCGGCTTCAACCCTCAGTTGCACTCTAAGTAAGTTAGTACTTTGACTTGAAATTGAAGAATTGGCTTTCTACTAGTAGAAATCTCAGATGTCTGGGTCATCTGACAATCCACTTCCACCACAGTTAAATATGTTTGTCGGTTTATCGAATAAATCGAGTTTTTTTGACATTATATACAACTAGTTAAACCAACTATCGAGAGCTTGAACGAACAATGCATCATTGCGTGCTTTTTCAAGTTTCATACTTTTCATTATCTTTAACTCGGATGACCGTCTCCTCATAAAACCTTAAAACCAATCTTTACCTGGACCATTATCTGGAATATCTTTCTTTAATTGTGTCGTACACCACCGAACTATTGTACATACGTTTGAATTTGATACAGGATGATTATAATCTTGCATTGTTTTTATCACATAAACCAGATGAGACTCTTCTTCTTTACTCAATATTGTTGTGCCACCACGTGCACTAGAGCCGTTGTGTCCTGATAGACGATTGTATAATGTACTAATCGGTGCGTTATATTTCGCTGATACTTCATTAATAGTCATTTTATCATCTTTACTTGATTTAATAACTTCGCCAATGTCTACGTTTGAATAAGTTTGAACTCTTTCTCTTACATAATTACGAACCATTTCAATGCAGACTAATCTGAGATAAATTAATACGCGCAAAATTTAATACACAAAATGCTGAGCTAGACTACTATTCTGTTGCTTAATGAGATGAGATGAATATGGCACTGTCTTTTCATATCATTCATCTTTTTTCATATTGGAGAGCGAACGTGTTCTTCTTCTACTTCTATATCTTCAAGGCAAGTGTGTGTATTTGTACATTCGTACACGCACGTTTCGTTTCTTTTCTTCTTTATATATGAAATTTAAACTATGTATGGTCATGTTAATCCTGTATATGATCAAAATGTAAATATGGGAGGTAATTATGATCCAAATGTGATAGAAATTGAGGGAAGATTTTACCGGCAATTAGAAAACGTTCATAGGACGGTTCCTATAACACAACATAGTCAAAGTCAAGCATTACAAGGTGTTCAAACGCAGGGGGTTACTACAGTATCGAAAGTACTAGAACAACAACCGTTAACTTCTACACCTAACAAAAGAGGTAGAGACAGAATAGATAATGGAAACGGTAATGATGATGGCTATACGCTAGTACAACGAAATAAGAAACAGAACAACAATAGAAGTAATAATAAAAATAGTAGTCAGAACAAAGCAGTCATAACAAACAATATTAATAACATGCAGAATTATAATAAATATCAAATGCCGATGGATCAGATACAAAGGGCGGTTATTCATAACCTTCCCTGTTTTACCATTAATTTCGAAGCAAGCGTCCGTTTATTGTCGGCAGTGAGAATAACTGAATTGTTATACGAGCATTTTAGGAAAAGTAACGTAAAAATTGGAAAATTCTCATTAGCACGTTATCAAGGGCGTCAGTTTAAAATAAGAGTGAGCGATAAAAAGGATTACTTTACATTAAGAGCACTGGAGGTCTGGCCAAAAGAAATTGGAGAGGATTGTAAGAAAATGGAAATAATTATTCCAAAATTTATTCCGGAAGAATTCTCGCTTGTTATTAGATATATACCCACAATGTTTAACATAGACCAGGTCAAATATGAAGTATTACAATCAGCAGAGTCCGCGGATAATTTTCGTCAGATTATTTATCCATATGAAAGAACTACAAACGATTTTAGATTTACAGTCGGTAATTTAAAGGATTTTGAAGGTTTATTAAAATTACAACGTATTGGCATAGGAAATTTAATGAGACCCGTCACTCCTTATCTACCGGCAAATAATCTAACTTACTGCACGAAATGTTGGAAATTGGGACATGTGCAGAGGGACTGTAATAGTGATAAAGCTAAATGTAAATGTTGTTTGGAAGTCTATCATCCACAACACAATGAAACTTGTTCCAAACAACCCACGTGTGCTCAATGCGGGCTTAATCACCACTCGTTAGACCCTTCGTGTTTAGAGGTCAAAAACTACAGATACAATTTAAATAAAGCGGTCAAAGAGGCTTTAAATGATGGTGTAATCCAATTGGATAATAGGTATTTGACGCAACAAATACCTCAACAAAATTTTGAACTAAGAAGGAATGAGTTCCCATTATGGAATCAACCATCCAGTAATAATAAAATGGAAAAAAGAAATATCAATGCTTGGAATACACCTTTCGAAAATGAACAACCATTAGAACGATTAGAAATCAAAATTGACCATATTGGCCGGTTTATTACAAATACACAAGAAATCTTGATTAGAATAGCATCAGAAGCGAAAAAAACAGAATGTATTATAAGTAATACATGTGAAATTATAGAAGAAGTTATTACAGGAATCAATGACTTAACGGAAAAAGTGTTAAAACCAATGGCTATTCGTTTAGACGATCAAGTTGTGAAGAAGAATGTAGATGAGTTAGCAAACTGGACATTAGCACTAAATGATAAATTCAAGAGGATACTGAGAGAGTCAAAAATATACAACGAGGTAGAACACGTAACTAGACCAAAAGATTTGTTAGAAAATATGGTGTAACAGGGTATAATGCTATAATTTTTATTTTTATTTTTATTTTTCATTTGCGACATGCTTAATCCTCTTTCTTCTTCTTTCGTACCCTTCTTACACCCTGACCCGCTAGAAGAAGCACTTCTAAAAATGAAAAGATGGGGTTTTGACATGAAAACTCTTAAAGAAGTCATATCTGTTTTAAAGGATTGGTTTAATAACACATTAATAGACACAGTGTTAAAAAACTGGGAGAATCATGGACAGGGAATTCCCGCTTCTATTTTACCTCACTCTTTACCGCTAAATTTTGTCGTTTATAATGTGCAGGGATGGGGTATAAGAGCATTCGAAGCTTTGGATCTGATTCACAAGTTCGACGCCTCTTTCGGAATCTTTACAGAGGTGGGCGAACTCTGGAACTCCTTTCGCATCCCAGATTTCAATTTTTTTTACAAAAAAGGGAATAATCCTCGTGGAGGAGTCACCATTGCAGTAGGCAGACATCTTAAGGCGACAGTAATAGAAAGTAAGTT